AAGCTGTCTGAGAGTCACTTTTCGCTAAAATTGATGGTTTTCCCTGCAAAGTGAAAAAACTGTTTTCCTCACTTATTTGTTTAAATAGAAAAGTTAGCTAATAAAAGTTTTTGACTCACGAGACGAGAGATGTCTTGTATTATGTTCCTTTAGACAATTTTACAATAATCTCGCGGATAGGACTTTTTTCGAGTAAAAATTTAATTTGCTTGGTCTAAAAGGCATTTGTGGAAACGAGAAAGCGGATGAACTTGCTAGAAAGGGATCCGAGACAGAGTTCATTGGCCCGGAGCCCTTCTGTGGCACATCTCCCAGTGTGGTCAAGCGGGCTCTGGGCAAATAGACTGAGACAGAACACAGGAAATACTGGACTTCAAGGCCAGGATATAGCCATCCTAAGGAGCTCATGGAGTATCTTTCGAAGGAAAGAGCGAACAATTTATTGAGCTTGAACAAAATCCGGCTCAGGAGAGTGACAGGACTCATAACGGAACACTGTCACTTTAGGAAACATCTACATAAGCTAAAGCTTGTAGACAGTCCAGTCTGCCGAGGATGTGAATCAGCAGATGAAACTTCTCGGCATATCCTGGGCGAGTGCCCGGGATTTGCACGTAGCAGAATGGCGCTCCTAGGGAGACCTTATTTGGAACCCAAGGAACTGAAAAAGTGTCAGCAAGGAAGCTTATGGACTTTGTAAAAAGGCCAAATCTACTTGCTGAATAGGACTAGTAGTGGGACGCACAATAGGCCTAATTAGGCCGCGGTGCTATGGGACTTATTAGGACCAACCACTAGGAGGAAGAGGAGGAGAAGAAGAAGAAGAAGACGAAGAAGAAGACGTGCTTCATAAAAGAGTTTTTCTTATCGGGCTTCGTTGTGAAGTTATCCGCCTTCAAAGAAAGACGTTTGAAAACAAATTCCAATTATAGCTTCTATGTCGTTACCATGACAACAATGAAATTTGGGCAATTAAAGTAACTCATGATAAGATTCATTTCCAAGTTTAAACTGATATTCAATACGCCTGGATTATACAGGAGCAGACGAAATTATCATAGTACCATTTCACGTTGTAAATACAAAAATAACTAATTTATTCAATATCTGGTTTATAACAAGTAAATATTTTATTGTTATTACTATTTATTTACGTTTCATCTTTCACTGAATTTAAATTATCAAAATTACGCCTGATCCCCAACGAACAGGCTTAGCGTTTGACATTTTAATACCACTTACTTGTGGATATCAAATTAACGCGGAAATTTATCGATACGCACACCTAATACAATAAAAATTATGCACCTCCAGATCCCCGTGGTGATTAATCATAGTTATCTGCCGGTCGGCTCGTATCCCAAGATATAAATTGTGGAATTGTACCTACTAAAGGTAAGATTAAAGAAGTTTCATACGATACCTAATAGTTTTATGACACCCCGGCACGACAGGATGATTTATTACAGGGCCGTATCTCTTTGATTTAAAGTTTTACGTTTCATATACTTTAAAGGTACTTTTTGTTCGAACAAGGAATGTTCTGGTGGATGTTTGATGGAGGTCGTTTTTAATAAAGATTTTAGATAAAACACACTATAGTAAATCCTACGTATCATATGCACTCATACTATCATTACTATCTGGAAACACAAAATTGTATAGAAAAAAATGTAAGTTTCGCGCTTTTTTATAAAATATATATAGGGTGTCCCAACTAGGAGATACGACATCTTCAAAGACGGGTGTTTTTGGAGAGGACAAAATTTATTAATTTAACGCGGAGACCACTACAGAATCCTTGCGGAACCAGCTTGAAGTGTGTTCGAATGTCAACCCTGCAGGAATTTTTAGAAACAAATACTTAAAATTTGGTGGTGCTTTATAACTTTACACGACCCTTAAAAGGCCAAAGAAAAATTGGCGTTCTCATTCAAAAATATAATTGATGATGTCATACCTCCCGTTTTTTTTTTGTAAAAAAATGCGTAGCTTATAATACATGCCGACGTGTCTCACTATTTTTTTTTAAATAATTTTGTGTCTCATATACCGAATTTGTTACAGTATTGTGAATCGTAATGTATTTTACAGTTCAATGACGTTTTGAACTGAAAACTCATCATCAGTGTTATTTTTCTCCAAACTTATTAGTTACTTTTTTTAACAATTTTATTTCATAAATTGTCAGAACAGGAACCAATTGTGTCCAGATTTATAACCCTAAGAGACCCTTTACCAGAAGTAGAGGAACTACTCGATTTTCCCTAATATTTGAAGAATATATTAAAAAAATCATGACATTTTACTATTTGCTGATTTACTGATATGCAAATATTTGCTACTCAGTTTCATCTTAACAAAAAAAATTAAGCTGATGATGGATGCTCAAAAAAGACGAAACGTCAACAACGAAATTAAAATATGAGAAATTAGTTTTTATAAATAAAAACTCTATATCTTCCGTTTTTTCTTTGAAAAATTAATGCATATTAAATATTCAATTTTGTTTCAATTTGACCATTTTTTCTATTTTCGACAATTTCCAAGGTAGTAGCAATGTTACTGTATTTAATTTTATATAAAAAAATCGACTAACGACTCACATATCGAATTTACTACACTTACTTGTGATTCGTTCTTTAAAACTACTTATAGTAGGATCATATTCGATGCAAAGTAATAAATCATTGCCTGTCAAGGGATCCAGTGCAATACCGTTTTAAGGGGTTTAGAAATTAAATAATTT